CACAGTAGCGGTTTTAGGCCATGGCACGGGCAGACAGGGCAGTTGCCCGGGGCGGCATTTTTTCATGACACAAAAGGGGCGCACAAGCAAGCTGAGTAAAAATAAAAAATAAAAAAGAAAGAAATGTGCGCCGCACCGAGGTTTTCTATTATCTGTCATATGACAGTGTCTGGATTGGAAACAGCAAGTTGGCGCCCCCTGTAGCTGCAGGCGCTCCTGCTGAGTTGACTGAGGGTTCAGGTGCTCCGTGCGTGTTTGAAGAAGAGGAAGGGGAGGGGTGCGGCGGGGAATTCACCTCTGGCTGAAAAATTAATGTTCAATAGTCATTCTACTAAAACATGCCTGTTTGTAGAAAACATGCGTGTGTGCGTGCGGGTGGGGTCGTGGTTGTGGTGGTTGGGGGGGGGGGGGGGGGGCGCTCAAAGGGGGCCTCGCCCAGGGAGTAATTTCATGTAGAACCGCCACTGCACACACACACACACACACACACACACACACACACACACACACACACACACACACACACACACACACACACACACACACACACACACACACAAACACACAGCAGTTAGTACAGAAAGAGAAGTGAGTTATTTTTGGTCCCCTAATCCTTCCTGTCCTTACCAGGCAGCTTATTAGAGTTTCCCAGCAGAGCAGACACTTCCTGCTTCCTGCCTGATCCGAGAGAAACATCCTCCACGTAAAGATGCTAGTGTGACACCAGAATCCATAAAACACATACGATGTTGTTAGATGGTACATTAAAATGATTCAAAGGTCACCGCAGCAAAGAGGATCCAGACTGAAGGATTTTTTCTGTGATTGCTCGCCAAATCTATTATCTCAGTGTGTTTGTCCTTGTTTGACTGCAGCAAATCTGCTGTTGTCTCTTTGTTTTGCCAGTACGCTTGATGGACACACACAGACACTCCCAGTTTACCAGCTGCGTCAGCTGATTAAAAAAACAACCACATCTGCCTGCATTAAGACACACTGGAACAAATGGTTTCAGAGGGACGATTTAGCTGTTAATGATGGCAGCTTTGACCGGCCAGTCAACCCAGCAGATGCTCTCAACCAGTAACTCACGTAAATACCCTCATATAGAATTAAATGAATATTTGGGAGATTTCACATGCACTAAGGCTTCTAATTATTAAAATGCCAGTATTTTAGAGTGAGTCCCACATTTGGAGTGCTTTTCAGCTGATGGTTTTTGCAGGATCGTTCAAGAGAGTTAACGATCCTGACGGTTTATGGACTCCTCTTCTTGGGGATTGTTTATCATGTTTATTTATGCAGCCCGTAACTCCAAGTCCTTTTCCTGCAGAAGGTGGGAATTCTTGTTGGTTTTGATATGATTTGTTCTGATGCTGTGACGTTTTTACTCTTTTTTTCTGTCTGAATGCTGAGCTCAGCCTTTCTAACACATCAGCTGGGCATTCAAAAAACCTTCTGATTTTATGGCTTTAGCGTACTTTCAGCACAGGGTCTGCATCAATATGTGTGTGTTTGTGTGCTGCACATGTGCTGATTGAACCACAGCTGGTGATGTTCTCGTCCTTTTGTTAAGCGAGTGATAATAATCGTCTTTTAGACTCCTAATAAAGTCCCGAGAGGACAACAAGGCTAAATTAATGGGAGTGGATTTGGTGTGTGTGTGTGTGTGTGTGTGTGTGTGTGTGTGTGTGTGTGTGTGTGTGTGTGTGTGTGTTTGTGTGTGTGTGTGTGTGTGTGTGTGTGTGTGTGTGTGTGTGTGTGTGTGTGTGTGTGTGTGTGTGTGTTGTGTGTGTGTGTGTGTGTGTGTGTGTGTGTGTGTGTGTGTGTGTGTGTGTGTGTGTATGTGTGTGTGTGTGTGTGTGTGTGTGTGTGTGTGTATGTGTGTGTGTGTGTGTGTGTGTTACTGATCAATTCTTTATAAGATCTAAATGTGCTTTGGTGTTTTTTTTACCCGACTCATGAAATGAAAAAAAATGTGACTATGAGCCAGAAACAAGAAATTAGACTGAAAAACAAATATGTAAAATTCACATTCCCAAGTCCTGCAGCTTTATAGTCAATCTGATGGTCGTTCACTACCCTTGATACAGCAAAAATAAATAAATAAATAAATAATTTTAAATTCAAATTTCCGTCATGAAAATAGGAATTATAGATTTTTGGTCGTTGAAAATGTTCTGGGCCTTATGATTCAAAGACATTTCTGTAAAAGTTTGGGAGTTTGTGATTTGTGCAAGTAAAGAAACGGCACTCCTTCAAACCCTCATTAATATTAAGCAGGAAATAAATTATTTAAAGATGCAATGAGTAAGAATCTCACAGTGAAATAATCACAAAACTACTGTCTCAATCATGTTGGAAGGAAGGTGATGTTGAAAAAGATATTTAAAGTGACAATATGTAGTAGAGCCCTGCACTGGAGCCCTAGGCCCTCAGGTCGGCCCGGCCCGAGGGCCGAGCTTCGGGCCAACGACTGTGTAATTACCTCGGACACGGGCCGGGCCGGGCGCCTTTATTTTTAATCGAATTCATTAAAAAAAACTGAAACACTTGAACGCAGCAGCACCTGCCTGCTTCTCACGCACCGTTAGCTCAGTTAAGGTGTGTGTGGTTTATAAATGCGCCTATATAAACAAATTCTCAAACTGCTGATTGAAACATGTACCCCTATTCTAATATGCCATTTTATGTCCACTTTGATGTGTCAGAAACCATTCGTTTATTCTCATGAAAACGGCAGCATTCTATTTTTCTGTGAACAAATTCGCTCTGCAGTTAAATAAAATACAGCTTTCATTGCTGGGGGTTTTTCTAACTGGAGAGCGCATTTTCAGAGCGGCAGATTAAATTTACAAACGCTTTATTAATTGGGGGCGTTTATTTAATCTGCCGCTCTAGAAATGCGCCCTGCAGTTAGAAAATTAGAATGCTGCTTTTTTTTCTAATTGCACAAGAGCGCATTTTCAGAGCAGATTAAATTTACAAACGCATCCAATTAATATAGTGTTTGTAAATTTCATCTGCCACTCGAAAAATACGCTCTGTTAGAAAAAAAGCTGCATTGATCCTGTTTTTTTTTTCTTTTCTTTTTTTTTTTTTTTACTGCAGAACACTTCTCACAGATAAGTAGAATGCTGAGCATTCTATCACGCTAAAACATTATGAAAAGTTTTTTTAAAAAGTCGGGCTCGGGTCGGGCCAGAGAATCCTGAAAACCTTTTCGGACCGGGTCGGGCTGGGGCTCCACCCCCTCGGGCCAGGCCGGACACGGGCTCAGAATTTAGGCTCCTGCAGGGCTCTAATATGTAGTCCTTATCATTAATCTCTGGAAATATCCATCAAAATGTTGTTGAAATGAATTAAACGATGCCCAACTGTTAAAAATATTAGTGGCGTCATAACATATAACCATAAAAACCAGGTTTAAAATACATCAGTACAGGTCTTATGCCGCTTACACTCTAGCATCGGCTCCACTCCACTCTACGCCGCCCGCCCCAGACTGGCCGTGGTCGTTCCACATTGCCTTAGGAATGCGGACATTATTGAGCACATGGGTGGTCTCCAAAATTGGTGTTAAAAATAGATATCAGATATCAGTGATGTCATGAGCACATCTCCAAGTACGTGGGCAGGGCAAAAGAGCGCAGAGAAGTCCACTGTGTCTCCATTATTCAACAAAATTTCCCTGAGCAGTCTTGCTTTTGGAGAATCTCTGACTCTGATGTTGCATCCGTCTTTGCTGTGTCTGGCAGCCTGTCAGCACTGTGTGTGTGTGTGCGCGTGCGCGCGTGCGCTTCTAACAGCAGTGACACATGATAAAAACAATCTTAGGAGAGCCATTCCAGCCAATCAGAGGCGAGGAAAGCCTACGATACATCCTACGATTCCAAATAACGCCTCAGGAAGAGGGCTGAAGAGATGTTGCGTGCGGGAAAATTCAAGGCTACCTAAATGAGAACACCCCAAACCGGGTCCAGACAGAGTAGAGCCGGTGCTAGTGTGTAAGTGCCATAGGTTTCTGGGTGACGCCATGTTGGATGTCATGTTTGCTTATGCAGGAGCCCATGATGGCAAAACACATTTATTGATTTGTAACAACTTTCTGCATTCAGAAACATTGTTACACATTTACGTCTTGGCTTGTTGCCAGTGGTGAAAAGGTGGCTGATGTGTTTGTCATTTTGCTGGAGGTTGAACGATCACACAAAGTACTTGTTTAAAGGTTACGCTACCAGGGATTTTCACACTGGTACGGTCTAACTTGAACACAAAAATATCTCTTGCAATTATTTAGGTATGTAAGGCCCTCTATCACCATGGAAAATACCCATCATCACTTTAATTTATTAAATGATCAATTTTGTCATTGTTGAATTTCTTTTATGGTTATTTTTATAAATGTGTTCAATTTTATTGTAAATCCTGACGCATCAAAACCCAAACAATAATTATATCATACAAGTCGCTGTTGCTGCTGTTGTTAAGAAACATTTTCAGCTGCATTAAACATATTTTGTGATTTTGTACTGAGTTATGTCTCTAAATCCTGCCTGTCACCACAGACCAGAGCGGGCTGCGCTTCAGCACGTTCAGCAGCTTTGGCCCTACATGCAGCTAAATGACACATTTCCAACCTTGTTTCAGCAGCTAGTTTGTGTTGGAAAACCACAGGATGGACCTGAGAAACCTGCAGCGCTCAGGCGTTTTAAGATCACAGCCTCATGAAACCATATCAAAGGCTTATAGATACAACATGCCTGCTGGCAAAAATAACAGCTGACACTGATAATGGGATCCGGTTTAGTGCATCCCACTTCATAATGGCCGGTTCATCACTGGGAGTTATTACTGGTCTTAATTTTTCTGGAAGGGACTCGGCTAATGGAGAAAAATTAAATCAGCTGAGTTTTACTGTAACTAGCTATGTGTCTACATTAAGAGTAAAGTTACTAAATGGGTTGAAACAGTATAAACAAGCAAGACTTTACAGTTACGCGTATTTTTATACTTAGAGTGAGTAAAAGAAGAAGCAGGTTCGCATTTTCGTTACTTTTGTGGTTTAAAACACTTCCTGAACTGCTCTTTGCACCCTAACTGAGCTCCATACACAACAATTCAGTAATTTAGCTTAAGTTTATTAAAAATAGTAAAATCTGTTAATTTACTAAAGTTTTTAAATGTGTTCTTTAAAAAAAACTTTAAAGAAACATCTCTAAAGTTATCCTACAGTCTACCTTAGAACTCATTTTAACCTCTCTTTTTACTTTCATTAGGTCACGTGACCGCTCAATCATCATGTGACAGGCGTGTTTTTTCGAGGGAAGGCAGATCATGAGAGTTGGTTTAAACATCTAAAAAGGAGGAACAGGAACTGATCAAACACTTGAACTCATGCAAAGACATGAAGCTTTGTCAGCATGATGTTCCTGAGATGTTATTTATTTTGTAGAAAAGACAAAACTTGTTAAAAACGCGTTAAAATAAAAGTCCCTCTGATGCTCTGACAATGCTGGAAACTTCTCACTTGACAGTTTTAGACGTAAAAAAATAATTTTATTGGTGAAAAAATTTCATGCAAATGCTTTAGTTACTAAGTTTGTGGCAACAATGTGACTCATAGGCGGCGTTTTTGTGCTGCTCTATCCTTTGATCTGAATTCAGCTGATTACCAAAACAACGTTAGAAGAGTTTTGTTTAAAAAAATAAGTCAGAGAAGATGAGAGAATGCTGATTTTACGTGTGGTGGAGATTCCGTGTTGGGAGTTTGAGATCAAACGCAGACAGCGACCCGCATGGATCGAAGATAAATACATTTCAACAATCTGAAGTTTCCTTTCTTTATTCCATCGTCTTGTTTTAAACAGATTTAAAAATCCAAATTCACTCGTCTTTCTGAGCAGCCGTTAGCTCGACTCGTCCGCTTCCTTATTCCTTGTGGGACAGCAGGAGGCAGAGCGGGTTGTTCAGAAGGTTGCAGGTTCGATCCCGGCTCCAACCAGAGAATGCTGCTGTTGTGTCCTTGGGCAAGACACTTAACCTGCCTTGCTTTCTTGTGGTAGTTGGAAGGACCAGTGGCACCAGTGTTCAGAAAGCCGTGCCTCTGTCAGTGTGCCCCAGAGCAGCTATGGCTACATAACTCATCCCCACCAGCGTGTGAATGTGTGTGTGAATGGGTGAATGACTGATTGTTATGTTAAGCGCCTTGGGGGGTTGTAGAACCCAAAGAAGGTGCTATACAAATGCAGGCCACTTATTCTCCGGCTGAGTGCTGTTAGCTGCAGCTACGACACTTTTTAAAAGCAACAATTTCTACCAAAAACACATCCGTTATAGACAAACGTTATTTTATAAAATCTATACTAAATGTCTCAAAAGAAGTGATTAAGACTTGCTAAAATGACTTAAATTACATTTTCAGAAAAGAAAAATAAATGACCAGTTAGGCTTTCCAACTAGTAAATTAGACTTTAAATGGGGCATGTTGCGATTTTTTTTCTTAAATTATAATACTTCTATGGTCGATACAAAATAAGTTCAATAAGTTCTTTGCACTAAATCCCTCTCACAATAAGAGATATCAGCAGTTTTATACTTGACCATTTCAGTACCTTCCAAAATGAGCCGTTTCAGGGCTCTGTCACTTTAAGACAGAAAGCTGGTGTTGGCCACGCCCATACCTCCCCGCACAGGATGCTGTAGCCTGAGGTGCTCCAAAATCTGAGAGGGGCTCCTAGTAGCAGCAGAAAACCCTCTTGTATGTGAGAGGAGGTTCCTTGCTAATTTCCCTGTTTGTGACATCACAAATGGGGGCTTTTAGAAGCAGCTCATTGTATGCACATGATTCCTAAAATCACACACTAACAGAAAGCAGACTAACAGTTTTTTTATTGCTATAAGGTGTCCTTGGGTCTGAGAAAGGTGCCCTGAAATTAAAATAAATAAATATACATATATATTTTTTGAGTGTTTATAGAGGGTTGTTGCAGCAAAAAAGATGCAAAAGGTGAGTTTTGCACATTATGTCCTCTTTACGTGTTCTGTTTTGTTCAAGCAAAGGCCTAAAATCATCACGTTTACAATTAATAAAAAATGTGAGACAAATAAAAGAAGCTAATCCACTCAAACAAGAGTCGAGAAAGTGTCCTGCAGCTCTCGCTCTCTCAATCACAAACCTCTTTAATGTTGTCTCGTCTCTAAAGAAAACAACTGATTCATGTGGAAAATGTGATCGTCCAAAAATACCAGCAGCTGAAACAAAGCACCATCACAGGGGAGCCTTTTCTTGTTGCTCTGGGGCTCAACACTGATGCAACAGATTAAGTTTAGGATTCAATTGGCTCCAATTAGCCATCTGCACTTCTGTCTTTGGGAATCAGTTTGCTGTAATTACTGCATGAGCTGAGAGGAGAGTGATGAGAAGGAGCTTTGACTTGCGTATTATTTTAAAGGTTTCGTCTGTTACTCTAAAACTCAAACCCAGCTTTTTACTCGGGGTTGTCTCTAATCCCATGATGCAACTCTGAGAGGGAATCAATTTCAGCCACTTGAGAATTTTTGGCAGAAAAACTGAAAAAATAAGAAAATCCAATAAAAAAACTAAATCAAAAGCATATGTGTGTGTGTCCATTTCTGTCCCGTCACTGAACACAACAGTTAAACACGAGAGGAGAAGGAGGAGAAAACAGGAAGTGTGTGGGAGAACGGAGATGCACGCTCCGCTGGCTGTAACCAAGAGGGAGATGCTTAACGTTGCCGTGGCGACTCAAGCGTGCATCCACGTTGCTGTGGTGATTCACACATGCCTCCTCTTGCCTCCGGCGATGACGCCGTAAGGCAGGAAAGTGAGTTTCCAACACCATAATAGATTCTTCAACCTGAATTGAACGATGCCCAAAAACAAAAACAAAAAATAATAATAAACTAAAGTTGCGAAATGATGGATTTATCATAACTATCTTCTAATTAAAGAGATTATTTTTTCTGTTTCTTCTAGTTTCTTCCACCGACACAGAAGCTCATAAAATATAGTTTTATTTTATGTAAAGTTTAACACCGCAAGCAAATCCCGTGTGTTTATTTGTTATCACTAGTTGAGTTGTGAATGCAGCCCCTATGTCCTTCTGTCACCTGTATAGAAGCTTCATGATTTAATGAAAAAAATGCACAAAACACTGATCTGATTAGTCATTAATGCCTCCTAAAAACAAGAGATTAAACGTTTTATTAGACTTGATGAGGAGGTGTTGTGCAGTAGGCTAAAGTTATTTTCCCTGAAAAGAAGCAATGCAAAATGTTTTGTGTAATAATAAAGTTATATGAAAGTTGTCAGACAAATGTAAACAAAAGTTTCTTATTCTGGTTTATGTGAATTAAAGTTCTGGTCTGAATTATTCTGGAGGATTTTAGTCCACAAATGAATCTGTTTCTTGGTTTTCTGATTTAGTTGCCCTGCGATGGGCTGGCACTGTGGGTGTACCCGCCTGATTGCCCATTGACAGCTGGAGATAGGCACCAGCCCTCCCGCGACCCTAAGCGGGTTCAGACAATGGATGGATGGGTTTTCTGATTTAGATTTTGAATTGTGACACACGGGCATTTCCTTTGACTTGAAGGAAATGCTGCTAGTGTTTTGGTCAGGTGTTTAGCGGAAACCGGTCACCCCTAACCAAACAACGTCTGAAGCATCATGATGCGTGAGGGCCTATAGATTACATTAATAATGACGCCACGCATGACTCATCCAGGAGCTGTCGCATTTCAGCACCTTTGTCCTCCAGCCGCTGTACAACTTACTCTCTGTGATCTTCTGCAGACCCAGAACATCCTCCGGACTGATCGCCGTCCTCGTCAGCAGCTCTTCCTCCGTGGTCACCGGGACTCCCACCACCTCGCTCGAGTTGCAGCCTTTCTTCACTTTCATCGCCTCCGTCTGCTTCGGACTTCCGTTCCCGGTGCTGTCAGTGCCACTGTCGCCGGTTTGGGCAGGATTAGTACCGACGGACTGCTTTGCGCTTGACGGGTCCTGGCTGTTGCCTCTGCTGGTACAAGAATAGCTCATTCTCCGCTCCTCCTCCCCCTTCACCTCACTCAGGGCTTCCAAGAGATACCAAACAGTTGCCTCCTCTCCCTCCCCTTAGCCAGAATATGCGGGGTTGCTGTGATCCGGTGCTTAATTCAAATCCGCTTCGTCTTTAGGACCCGAAAGTGCGTCTCTGCGTTCAACGGCTCCGGTAAACCGCGCTGAGGTCCCGTGTGTGCGGAGAGGCCGCCTTGCAGCGCAGCTGCTCTTGAGGCGATTTTTTTTGGGTTGTCAAGCGTCACTAGACGTCTGAGGGAAATAATCTGCTGGGTTTGAAATTGCAAAAGAGGCGGCAGATGGTTGTGGCCGTTAAGGAGGAGGAGAAGGAGGAGGAGGGTCATGCAGCTCAGCCGCGCAGAAAGCCGCTGTTCAGCGCGCAGTCTGCGCAAAATAAAGCGGTGCGCACAACAATAAACATAAGCCCGTGTGCATCGCACCCCTAAATATTTTCACTGCATGAATAATATGTCAGGTATGTAAAATCATAAAAAATCTAATTAAGAAAATACGTGCGTAAAGAATTAATCCAAAGAATATTCAATAAAATCAATGTTCTTCATCTCTCGTGAGATTATTGGCTCATTCATCACACACACTAAACACCCGAGTGACCTCTTCTGACCTGAAATAAATAAAACACTTCTACCAGGGAAAATGCCCTAAAAGTCCCCTTTATTCTGCAGCACAAGGTGTCTTTATTAGCATCTAATAAGTGCGACTATATAAAATCTGGATGTGCAGCAAGATGTGTTAATCAACAGCAGTAAAAATAAATGAAGATGCATTTTTTAGTTTTAGTCTGGGGTCTCTGGCTTGCGTGGAGGGGAGGAGTAGACATGAACCAATATGAAACAAATGGATTGAAATGGTTCAGTGTCGAGGTCCTTTGAACCCAATAAAACAAGTCTACCGGCCAGACTTCAAAAGGACATTGCAGCAATAACATTGGTATGGTCTTTACCAAATCTGTCAGTTTCTGTCTTTTACAATCTGGATGTAATTATGTTACAGAAAGACTGCCCCAGCAAAAATACAGCTGTGGACACTGACTCAAGAGTTGTGCAGAGAGAAGATCCCACTGCACCATTAGAATCATGGGGATGACCTGAGATGCAGTCGCTTTCTTCTCTGAGAGATCACTTGTAGCTATTTCTCTGATTCGTCGCTTCAGTTCTCACCCCCACGCTCCGAGCATCCGCCGTGGCACGAAGTGTCGGCAATGCGCGTGTCACGCTTCGTTTACGCGCGGTGAAGCGAAGCTAGATGTCACTGGGGGCGGGGACTAACACGTAAGCTGCATCCAGCCACAAGGGTGCGCTCATTGAGCCTCTTCTTCAATTTCTGGATTATTTTGTGCGCACAGAAAATTGGGCAAGGTTTGTAAAGGAATTTCTTAAAATCATTTAAATAGAATTCCTTAAAAACTTTCTTGTTTCAGTGCACAAAGTATGGAAGCCAATTTCTGCCACTCTGATAAAATAATGGTGTATCTAATCATTTTCATTTGATTTATTTTTTTTATCAGAGTGGCAAAAATGGACTTCCATACAATGTTCCAAATACTTCTCCAAAATTTTAGTTTCATTTGTTAACCCATTTTTTCATTGGATCAAATTTAAAATTGAGTCTCAAATAATAGTGATGTCACTTGAGGCCAAGTTTACTGATTTTTTTCCCTACAGATGGCTCTAAAATGTTTTTCAATGATCCAATTGAACCCTGTGAGAGTAATTCTTTGCCAGTTCTTCTTGACTTTTACCTTATGGACCTTTATCATGGTCCTGGAGGGATTTTGATGGAAATGTCTCCCCCTACAGGAAGTCTGCATCTATTGCAAAAGCATTTTTATTTATTTTTTTCTTCAAATTCATCTTTTTGATGGCTGGCCTTTAATCTTGAGTGTAAGTGTCATCAGTTGAACAGAGGAACCCACCTGACAGCTGGTTTAGTTTGGAGGCGGATCAAAATGACCTGCAGGATAATTTGGCTGAGAAAAGTGAATTCACTGAAGATGTGCACGGTTTCGGAATGCGTGTGTGTGTGTGTGTGTGTGTGTGTGTGTGTGTGTGTGTGTGTGTGTGTGTGTGCACGTGCGTGCGTGCAGAGGACTGTAGCATCATGCCCACTCCTGAAAGGAGAGGAAAATTAGCAGCATGGATGCAAGTGATTGTATTTGCACATTCAGACTCGTCTATAAGGTCACCCCGGTCTCTTCACATCGGCCTGCTGAGTTTGCTTGTCCCTTTGTCACATCTGAGCCACTGCTTTCGTCAGCAGAAACACACACACACACACACACATGCACACACACAGACATGCGTCCTGTCTCACATTCAGTCATGAATAAATCCACTCAGAATTTACAAAATGTTCTAATTTTTTTTACCTCGAAGGGCACAAACATCTTTCACCTTCAGACCTGGAATTTAGACATTATTTTAGGAATTACATGTTAGCGCAAATGAACACACATATGCACAAACACACAGAGAGAGAGAGAGAGACAGGGAGTCTGGGCAATGTGCTGACCTCAGTAAGCCGTTCCTAAATGTTTATTGTTCGGTGCTGCAGGAGGAGAGATGAGCAAGGAAGTTCACAAATTTTGCTGTTATCAATGTTTTCCTGATTTCTGAGAGAAATAAAAAATTCAATACATATAATAAAGATTTTTTTATTGCATTCAAAATTCTGTGAAAACTTTGTACCCGGTGAACTCCTCACAGCTTACTTCACTGAAGTAAACTTATCTCTTTTACACATTGAGCATACGCAGTGTGCTTCCTGAGGTGAAACATTAGCTGCTGAAACACAGCTGGCTACCACGACTGAGAGATGGATGCCAAACCGCCATCAGACCTCCTGACCAGGCTTCCCACATGATGTCACTGCCCCATAGCCCTCACTGATCATTTGGGTCAAAAATGAAAATCTATCTTGTGCCCCAGTAAAAAAAAACTCTCTATTTAGCTTCATTTTTTAAGTACTTGGAACACAGAAGAAAAAGAAACATTTAAAAAATCTTATTTCTGATTATAAATGGTCAGTTTTAGATTTTCACGCTGGCTGACATGAAAACAGTCTCCTACACCAATCTCGTTCGTCAGCTCCTGATGGAAAGTAGACAGTGAAAATCTAGGATTTGAAAATCCCGACAGATCTACGTCACACTGTCTCTTAACATACTCACCCATCTTGACTCATGACGGGGAGGCTGTTGTTGGTTGAGCATCCAGGAAACAGCAGAGAACGTCTTGACTAGTAGAAGCTAACTGTTATCATTAGCAACTTCACCACACAGCAGAACTCCTCCAGGCATCTGTTATTTGTGGAGATAAAACTTTCATGTTGCAAGTCTGTGGTAGAGTCGTGTTGCTGTTATCCAATCTGAGGTTGTCGTCGTCGTCTTCCTCCGCTTATCCGGTTCCGGGTTGCAGAGGCAGCATCCCAACTAGGGAGCTCCAGACCGTCCTCTCCTCGGCCACCACCACCAGTTCCTCCGGCAGGACCCCAAGGCGTTCCCGGACTAGATTGGAGATGTAACCTCTCCAACGTGTCCTGGGTCGACCCGGGGGCCTCCTGCCGGCATGATATGCCCAAAACACCTCCCCAGGGAGGCGTCCAGGAGGCATCCTGACCAGATGCCCAAACCACCTCAACTGACTCCTTTCGATCTGGAGGAGCAGCGGTTCTACTCCGAGTCCCTCCCGAATGTCCGAGCTCCTCACCCTATCTCTAAGGCTGAGCCCGGCCACCCTACTGAGGAAACTCATTTCGGCCGCTTGTATCCGCGATCTCGTTCTTTCGGTCATTACCCAAAGCTCATGACCATAGGTGAGGATTGGGATGTAGATCGACCGGTCAATCGAGAGCCTGGCTTTCTGGCTCAGCTCCCTCTTCACCACGACAGATCGGCTCAGCGTCCGCATCACTGCAGACGCTGAACCAATCCGCCTGTCGATCTCCCGATCCCTCCTACCCTCACTCGTTAACAAGACCCCGAGATGCTTAAACTCCTCCGCTTGAGGTAGGACCTCTCTCCCGACCCGGGGGCAAGCCACCCTTTCCCAGTCGAGAACCATGGTCTCAGATTTGGAGGTGCTGATCCTCATCCCAGCTGCTTCACACTCGGCCGCGAACCTACCCAGCAAGAGCTGAAGGTCAGAGCTGGATGAAGCTAGGAGGACCACCTCATCCACAAAAAGCAGAGACGAGATTCTCCTGCCACCAAACTCGACACACTCCACACCACGGCTGCGCCTAGAAATTCTGTCCATACAGGTAATGAACAGAACCGGTGACAAAGGGCAGCCCTGGCGGAGACCAACCCTCACCGGGAACAGGTCTGACTTACTACCAGCTATGTGGACCTAACTCACGCTCCTCTGGTAAAGGGGCCTTAAACTTAAATTGAAGTAGTTGTTATATTAGCATAGATGATGTTTGCATGATAGTTTAACCTTTATTTAACCAGATGAGTCGATTGAGAACTCATTCTCATTTACAAAGGCGATCTGGCCAAGAGGCAGCTGCAACAGACACATAGTTAGCCTTACATCAAAGAACAACAGATATATAAGATGAAAACAATTTCAAAATAAGATAAAACTGTTAGACATAAAGTCAAAGGACTGTTCTCATATACAATATGTACAAGCAATCAAAACAGAAATAAGCCCATCTTTGAGTACTCAGAAGCAGGCTCAGAAACTATTGATTGCAATGAATTATTGAAGGTAGATAATGGAATGTAGGTAGTAAGCGTCAGTGATTTTTGCAGCTCATTCCAGTCGTTGGAAACAGCAAACTGGAATGAGGAGCGGCCAAAGGAGGTGCGAGTTTTAGGAATAACCATAGAGATTAAATTACTGGAACTTAAATTGCGCTGGTTGAGTCAGGTCCTCATCTTGCTAACACGCTACACCTGGATGTAATCAACTCCCTCACTGGACAATCATCACTGCCAACCAGTCAAATAGCTGCCTCACTCACCGCTCCAATGTTCAGTTATCGTTTTGCCATGACCAGAGCTGCTGACTTGTGCTTCACATCTCAGATCCCAGTCAAAATCCAAAGTGTTTACTTCCAGTCTTCTCTCATTGATAATTCACTTACTCGTACATGACCAGCTCTCTCAGCCGAAGCCTGCCTCTCTCTACGTGCGGACCGCCGCCAGTAAAACCCCCATCCCCGCCTCGCTAACCAGCGGGATTGACTGGTTGTTGGAAGTGATGAGTAATGAGCGAAGATATGACGGTGTTCTACCGATGATTGTTTCGTATATAAATTGATACCCTTATAACAACCTGTGGGAACGGAGTGATGGCCAGTTAACGAGAGAGTACAGATCACAATGATGAGTAGTGAAAGGGGCACCAGTGATGAAACGGATTGCTGAGTGATAAATGACATCGAGTTTATGTTGAAGGTTTTTGGAAACAGTCCTATAAATGATGTCAGCGTAGTCTAAGATAGGAAGGATTGTCATTTTGACAATAGGAGTTATGTATAAATTATTTAATAAGAGGGGGACCCTTATTGGTATTGGTATACAGGTATTGTAACTAAAGAATTTGACTATATCAGTATACCGGATTTTGGTATACAGTATTGGCTTTGGGTATGTGGGATATTGGTTAAAAAGTGGATATCAAACATACTTACTGTCTACCTTTTGCTTTTTGGCTGTAGCAAATGAAAGTTATGAATGGCATAATCTAACAACGATAAAAGGCGAAAGACCGTAAAAATAGCTGTTTCCTCAGTTATAAACACGAAAAACCGTGTAAATACTTCAAACAGCTGAAAATAGTCCATAAGCGTCCATCTTTCTCTTTGGAGCATCACATTGATTAAATTGATAATTAAAAGCTTGTCATGACAGATTTTTATGTACTTTCTGTGTTAGATAATAAATCCCAGTGTGGTGTGTAGCCCTGGTGTTTTTCTAACTTATAGAGCAGATACAGAGGTGTTTGTAACTCAGCATGTCCTCATTGTGTTTGCATGAATCAGAGTGTGTCTGTGTGTTAACCCCTCTGTGGCTAGCACAACTAAACAATAGGAGTCCAAAGCAAAGTGCTGACATGGGTCCAGGCGCTCCTGCCCCCTGGCCCCTAGCAACCCGGGGGTGTATATATACCCCCCAAAACACAATGTTTCCGTAGACTGTTCAGAGGAACCCTGTGCCACACGACTCACCTGTTTGGGTAGGTCAAGCTAGTTGAAGTGGTCAACAGTGCAAAACAGATTTATAACCTGAGGTCATGTGACTCTAGAACAGTTTGCCTTCTAAAGAACTAGAGACGATCCTAAATGTCTTTAGAAGGATTCGTAAACAATGAACACCTTGGGTTTCATTATAACTGTGCTTATTTCTCTTTAGGTGCTGCTGAAAATATATCCACAACATCATGGCTCTGACTAACCCCACGCCCATGGGCCCATGGAAGGTAAGATCCACTCCTCCTCTGTTCCTTTTATCAGCTTACATGGTAAAATCAGCAGTTTGGTCCATGTGTGTGTGTTGTTGGGTTTCAGATCACCGTGTACGACCAGGAGTACTTCCAGGGCAGGCGTATGGAGTTCACCGCCAGCTGCCAGAACATCATGGAGTGTGGGATGGAGAACATTCGCTCTCTGAAGATTGAGTGTGGCGCGTACGTGTGTTTGATGCTTGTCCCATTTTCTGTTTAAAGTGGCACTGCTCTGAGGTTGGAGGTTGCTGATTTGATTTTGTCTTGGTTCATGAATCACAGCTGGGTTGGTTACGAGCACTCTAGCTTCTGTGGTCAGCAGTTTGTGCTGGAGAAGGGAGACTACCCTCGCTTTGAAGCCTACAGCGGCAGCAACTCCTACCGCATTGAGAGGATGATCTCCTTCAGGCCCATCTGCTGCGCTGTAGGTTCAAAATTACTCATAACAACCTCAGCTGTTGGGAGGCAAAGCCAGAACTCGTTATTTTCTGTTTTGAATAGAACCACAAGGAATCCCGTATGACCATCTTTGAGAAGGAGAACATGATGGGTCGTCAGTTCGAGCTGTGCGATGACTACCCCTCTCTGCAGGCCATGGGCTGGATGAACAATGAGGTTGGATCCATGCAGGTTCATTGTGGAGCGTAAGTACATTATTTTTAAGAAAAGCTAAAGTGAAATTTGGTTCTTTATTTTTTTTAACCTTTCTGTTGACTTTATTAGTGTTTGATTGTTGAAACATGTGTATTCCTGCAGCTTTGTGTGCTACCAGTACCCTGGTTACCGTGGACACCAGTACATCGTGGAGTGCGACTGTCACGGAGGCGAGTACAAGTGCTATCGAGAGTTTGGCTCCCACTCCCAGACTCCTCAGATTCAGTCAATCAGGAGGATCCAGCACTAAAGAAGAGAAGGACTTCCTTCATCACCTTACCTCCTCTTCCTCTTCCTCCCCCTGCATTTGCATCCCTCCTTCACTTCTTCTTTTTCTTCTTCTGCAACAACCTCCTTCTCCTGAGCGCTGCTGCTCCAGCTCATCAGAGGAAAATCTGGGACTGAACTTCAGGTTTTTACTGGCATCTGTTGTGCCCAGCGCCATTTTTTTAAATTTATTTTCTGAAATGCGAACATCATAAATAATGGAAAGTTCTGAGAAAGACAGAAAAATAGGAATTGAGAAAAATGGTGAATGAGTGACAACAGAAAAAAGTCTCATCTGCCGAGGTTTTCTGCAGAAAAGTGATGAAAACATCCTGATGTTCACTGCGGTTTGTCATCCCCTCCGCCCATTACCTCATTTCCTCCACATCATCAAAACAACAAGTCTTGTTTCTGTGATATCCTCGACTACCTGTGTTCAAGATGATGAATAAAGAGAATGAGCAAAAAGACCAAAAGATGCTGATTAACTTCAGTTATGCACTTCTCTTTTATTTTGTGCTGATCTGATTTCCTGCTCTGCAAACACCTACCATTATTCAAAATGGCATAATTAGTAAATCATTTAGACACCACCTCTTAGTAAAATATTTGTTAATTTCTTAAAATGTATTCAAATCCTCAGAAGGTTTAGTCAATTTTAATTAACAATAAGGTCATTTCTTTTCAATAGTATACATTCGGAGACACATTTTGAAGAACAAAATTATCTAAACTGCACACAAATCATGTCATTTTAACAAAAAGTGTGCTTTTTATTAAATAGACAGGTAATAGCACATTAAAAAGATTACCAAAACTGAAAATTGCTAAATCAAACTGGTAAATTAGATGAGGTACGCAGGTTGTATCAACTAAAAAAACAAAACTAGATTTACACTCTGCCTTAGGGGATAAAAAAAACTATTGACTGCTTCATTAGATCTAGGATAGATTCCACTGATAAAATTTATTTAGACTCAAAATTTTTAGGAACATTTTGCTAAAACTCAGCTAGAATAGTTCTAACAAAAATATGTAATAATAATAATATATTATAAAACCATCATTTTCGTTTATTCAAACTGTGCGTGCATCAAAAAGTAATTTCCATTTTATTTTATTTTTTACAAAAATGTATAAGCTTTTGTCTCAATCAACTTAATAAATTATTAAAGCTATGCCGAAATAACATTTAATGTAAAGTAAACATCTATTTGAAAGGAATGGCATTTTGAATGACACTCAGTAGAATCCATAATCAATTTAACGCAAAAGTTCAATAAAATCATGTCATGGATCTGAAAAATCAGATAAAGTTGGGAGTGTACAGGTGTGGCTGTGGCCACGACACGAGAGAGCGTTGTGGCGCGACAAATGAAGTACGACACTTATTTCCACTTGACGGCTGACGATGACACACCAACATCAGCCATGGCAACCGGCAGCAACTATTGGGAAGGTAAATAGATATGTTAAAAGTCTAAAATATTAAACAAAGAAAAACATTTCTTATTTATTTCATTTATCGGTAGATTAACGTCACTTGTACTTAACCTCTTACGATATCAGAACATTACATCATCAAAGTTTGAAGTAGATACTGCATTTGTTTGTTATGCTAACCTGTTAGCTTGTTGACTGACGTGGAAATGGAAAAGTTTTATGAACAGCTCAGAGAACTCGGTCCGGTCCTTCTAGCTGACTCGTCACGAGTCTAATTTGACTGGGAAACCTGATCAATCAAACGAGTCAATGAAAAGTGAAAATCTGAGGCGTTTCTTTCCCTGAAATGCCTTTTATTCAGCATGCGTTGCTGTTTGTTCACTCAGATTTACGTAAACAGGCCAGGCAGCTGGAGAATGAGCTGGACATGAAGCTGGTCTCCTTTAGTAAGCTGTGCACCAGTTACAGCAGCGGCCACGACCATCAGACAAGACCCAGGTAGCAACTTATTCTCATCTTAAACTGATCCAGTTTATCACAATCACTGGTTTTCATTTTAAGTTATTGTTTTACATCAATCAGTGCATTAAAGACATAACGTGTTTGATTGAATATCCTCAGTTTAACACTGTTTTCTTTAAATCAGGTCAGATTCTTTTGGCCCACAAGATAACATGGTCGTTGCCATGACGACTGAAGTGGAGCAGCTCTTGGCTAAAGTGCGTAAAATATCACAAATGCTAAGTATTTTACTCGGATTACTCCTGGTAGCATCTTTGTGTTTTATTGTGAATATTGATTTGTTGGGATTAGTTCTGGTTATTTAAACAGACACAGATCAAACTTTACTCTTCAATAGAAACGTTTTGAAAAGTTTTCTGAAAGTCTTCGTAATTTCCTAATAATGATTTATCCTAATTTTTTGGCAGCTTGCTGTGATCAATGACAAGATGGCAGAATACACAAGCTCTCCTGGAGCCTCATCACAGAATGCAGCACTGATGCACACCTTACAGAGACACAGAGACATTTTACAGGTATACGTCCAGCTTCTTTTTCACTCTCAAGTGTGTCATCGCCTTCTTGCCAAAGACAAAATAATTGTGGTATTATTATCGTTATAATTTTTGCTTTAGAGAGTTTTGATACTGGTTTATTGTGGCTTAATGGCTGTTTGTCCTTTTGCATTGTTCTGCAGGATTACACTCATGAGTTTCATAAAACGAAAAGCAATTTCTTCAGCCTGCGAGAGCGAGAGGACCTGCTGGGTTCTGTTCACAGAGACATTGAGTAAGAACTTTTCTGACACAAACATGTGTGTGTGTGTGTGTGCGCGCACGTGCGTGTGCATTTGGACCGTCCATCACATTTTTAAGTGTCCTTCGGCAAACCCTGAACCTCATGAACTCTCTATTTTCTATCATTTACAATTTTTTTTTCTTTCATTTTTCTACAGAAGCATGTTGCATTCACTTGGAAGTGGGGGTAGACCGATATTTTGGTCAACTGATATAAGGGGGTGATATTTACTGTTTTTTATACATCGGCATCTGCCAATATTTGTCTTTAAGTCGAGCTGATTTAAAGTCAGGCTAGGGCTGGGCGATATGGCCTAAAATTAATATCATGATTTATTGATATTGATTATCGATAACAATAAATGGACGATAACTACAGGTATGTGCAGAATCAAACGTTGTCCACTAGATGGGGCTGTCACATGCATCGGGTTGAGTCAAATTTTTACGTGACTCAAGGTGGTACAGCTTCTTAAAGGGACATGAATGTTGCCAACCTACACACATCTTTTAATTTTTTTATTATCTAATTTATTGACGTGGGAAAAATTATCTGGATAAGAGTCAGAAATTTCAATACGATAAATTTTCGACTTATTGCCCAGCCCTAAGTCAGGCACAACATTGGCCAGCCCGGTGCTGTAGCAGAATTTAATTACAATATATTTTTACTTTCACTAATAACATCTGCATAATAAATATTCTAAATTAACATTATTTAGGTGTCTGAATGACACAAAGTTGAGATTTAACAGTTGGTTAAATTCAGATTTCACAAAATGATTCAGCTTCAGATATTCTGTGCATCATTATTAATGATATTTTAGCATGAAAATATGGTGGAAACCGTCAATACCGGCCCATAAAAATTGGCAGCACATATCGGCCATTGGCTGACCACGTCTCGTACTTATCGGTATAGGGCTTGTGATCGTGACGTCATCACCGACGCAGCCACCCTGTTGGAAGCATGTGAGGTCTTACTTGTTACTATTGTGAACAGCGTGCTCAGTCTCATTCTTGCAGCTTAAATTAATCAATTACTTATTTGATGGGTTATACTTCACAACTCTAGTAAATCGTTGTTGTGTTTTGTGGGATCACACGTGATCACCAGGTGAATAAAGGTGGAAAACAAGCTAACTTTACACCGTTTTCCTGCTTGGAGGCCAAAACCATGGAGACCAAGTATCTGGTATAAAAACGTCTTGTTGACTATAAGCACACAGAAGCTACACTCACATACCAGTAAGCTAATGCGGGCGCGCTGACACACAACACAACTTCTCCTGCTACACTTCTTCTGTGGGATGACAATTTTGATTGCTTTACTATAAAAACCAGCAAATAAAACGTTTACCTCTCATCCGGACGTTTACATCCGCTCACACCACAAACAAGAAAGTCTTTCATATGGTTCAAAGCCATTTATAACACTGATTTTGTCCACATACCGGCCCCCAGCATCTTTATTTAATGTGTCCCTGTATATTCCACATCCTTTTTGGGATTTTACAATGTTGTTTAACACTTTCTTTCACCGAAATCCGCCAGTTCTCTGCGACAGTACCGTTTATTTCATGGTTTGTTTACACTCGTCAAGCTTCCAACATCCCAGAATGCTCTGCGTAGTCACGTGTGATCACAAGCCCTATAGGCAATAGAACACCTTTGTTTTTCTGAAATAACGACATTTTTACAAAAACAACAAAAGCTTGTGTTTTTCTGAATTATTGAGATGATAATAAAATATCAATGAATAAGATAAAACCACTGCAGTGTTTTACCAGACGTAGGTGTTATTAACTGGCTAATTAAAATGAGCTCAAACTTATCCCACTTGTTGAGTTTTTTTCACTTTATTTTGGGATTGAGACACTAGGAGATACTCTTGTCTCTAAATAATTTAGGTGGGATTATTATTAGTTTGTCGACTTTGCGCACAAACCTGAAGAATTTGTGCCTGTTGAGGCGTGAAGCACCATCAGATCTTCCAGACATGTTTCTCCAGGATTTTTTTGTTGTGTTTGTTTTGTTTTTAAATTATCCCAGTAATTCAGAAAAAAACAGTGGTGATTTTATTCAATTTCTTTTTGTATAAATGATGTAATTAATTGCGCTTCTGTCCTTTTTTGACTCGTTTTCCTCCTCTTCTCCTTTCCTTCCACTTAAGTGAATCTTTGCTGTTAATCTTAACCAGCAGGGGGCAGAGATGTGCGGACTCTCCACCCACTAACACCTTCCGCTCCCTCCATCATCTTGCACCCTCTCATTAGGAAGCTTTCCCTCCTCCTTTCTGCATCTGTATCTCTTTCTCTCTCCTCTTGGGGATTTCTCTCCTAAGTGCCTTCTACAGTAAATCAAACCGCAAGGCTTTCATTCAGCCAAAGTTGAGGGAGAGTGGTTGCGTGTGGCCTGCAGAGGAATACGAAATCCTGGGGGGAGAGGGACAGTGGAAAAGGGATGTTTTCTGATCTGAAGCCGACTGATTACAGAACGGATGAGATTGGATTTAAATTATTCCCACAAAGATAAACTTTGAGGTGGGGTTAGCTAGAGACTGAGGATGAAGCTTTGGGTGCAGTAGAGCTAATTACTGTAAAGCTTTAAATCAGAAAGTATCTGTGTCTGACTGCATTGATGCTCGTGAACGATTCAGACTTTAGCATAAATCTGCTGTCTGATTTCCAGTGACGTCATCACATCAGGGCAGACATTTTTGATCAGAGATGGGGAATTGGGGCATCAACCAGTCAAATCCATGCCTTGTTTTTCTTCAGCAACCAAACCAGGTGATTTCTATCAGCACAGTGAATGAACCTGCTTCAGTTGCTGAGGAGAAAAAAAAATCTCGCCATGGAGATGACATGTTGATGCCCCATCTCTGTTTTTGACCTCATTGTGACACCATATCATCTGATGTTGTCATATTTATCTCTGATCCAATTACCTCCAAGATATTGAGAGTTTTTGGAGGATTTCAGTGACTTAGCATTTTTTTAATGAAACCTTTATTCCACTATATTCCACAATAATGCATCATTCTGTTTTAATCAGGTCCTACAAGAACAGCTCAGGGGTGAACAACAGAAGGACTGAGCTCTTCCTGAAGGAACACGAACACCTCAGAAAGTAAGTTTACAGAAAAATAGTCTTTTATTCATTTTAAATGTAAATAATCCTGTTTGCTTTAGGAACAGAGAAGGTTTTATATTTAACATGGTTTCTTAAAATGCCAGAATTCTTTTCTGCTTTGATGCAAACCTCAGATCTAAGCAACCAATGTCTGTTTCCTCATTCATAAATAAACCTATATTTGTTGCATTTTTGTTCTTTTATTAACTATCTGCTGTCCTTTTTTAGAAACACAACAGATTCTAGAAGTTTTACAGTGAACTTGAAGGAATATTAGAAAAAAAAACTTTTTCCATTTCTTCTTTTACGGAGTCCTGGGGCAAGATCCCGAGTTTTGTTTTGAGTAAACTCAAGATTATTTTAGGTTTAAACATACTTTAGTAATTTTATTTTGAGACAACAAAAAAACTACAATGTTGGAGATTTATTTTAATTTTAATTGATCCTGTAGGGCTATAGAGCATATGTGTGGGGAGAGATAGTGGTTAAAGAATACAAGACGAATTTGGTGGTTGAAGCATCTGTTGTTCAGCATTTCCTTTCTTTTTGCGGCGCAGCTACGGCTGCTGTAACTTATGGAATTCAATTAATCACAAAGAACTGATGCAATTGACTCGTCTGGTCGTGAGAAGAACGTCACAATATCTGTGACCACCTCCGTCGGTTCTGATTTTTGATTTCTGAGAGAAAAAAAAGTCAGAAATAATTTCTAATTCTCATTTCAGTGGCCCCAATCCACTGAAATGGACCTCTCTAATAGGGATGTCCTGTTTCGATATTGATATCGGAAGTAATTCGATATCGGCCCAAAAACACTATTGGATTACATTAAACTGCATCAAAAATCTCCGATATAAGCAGTCCATTCCACTTTAATCTCCATTCCAGCAACTCTATCCAGCAGCACCCAGATCCAGCATGCAAAGCCCACGTGATCAGAACAGTGCGTGCTAGCAAAGTAGCAATGTCAACCAAGTCCAGGTGGCTGTGTTTTTGGTAAAGTTCATAAAAGACAGAGCGGCTCAGTGCAACATTTGCCATGCACAAGTTTCCCATGGTGGATCAGAACCAAGAAAGTTTAATATGTCCAACCTCACTGCACGTTTGAAGCAGCATCACGAAGCATTGCATGAGGATTTTTTGCAGTGTGTGAAATTGAAACTTTGGACACTCAACTTGTAGCAGCTGGTAAATGGACAATATTGTGTTTTATTGTTTTTTCCTCATGTCCCTGCCCTCAGCAGTTCCTACCACTTGCTGACAGTAAAACATAACATAACATTTTCAACTATAAAATGATATATTTTGTTTATTTGTTTACTTAAAATATTTCTCAGTCTTTTAATTTATTGTTAATTTTTTTTATTCATTTGTTAAACATTCTGTTTAAGGTTTACATTTATGCAACCAAAGGTTAACAAAAAAATTGTCATTTATTTTCATACTTACTGTTGCTGGTCTTGTTCTCCGATTGAGTAATGTCACTTAATCTAACCTTTCATATGAAATAGGTAAAAGTGTGTATGAGTTGTGCTGATACCGTATCGGATTGATATCGGTATCGGTCAATACTGAATATTGGTATCGTATCAGGACATCCCTTCTCTATGATGCCAGTATTGTTGAGTTAATGTAAAACCTTAATATCCCTGAGAGTCATTTTGTTTTCTAACCACAGTCGAGTCAGATTTACGTAAACAACACATCTGTATGAAATACTGTATTTATGTCAACATGGTGTCAGGTAGCTGTAGAGAATCGTGACTAATCCTCATTAGCATCTGCTTTTTCTTAGAAAACCGTTTGCTTTTTTTAATTTTCAGCCCTTAGTTTGTAGTAAATTTAGCAAAACTGTTGATCTGTTTCAATTTTGTTATTTCTGTGGATTGGTTTTAGTGTTTCTTTGTCATAACTTTTTAGACATTTCATGACGGGTCTTTATTAAAGGCTGCAAATGGATACCTGGGCCAGGTTCTAGTTAGCCTCACATCCATTTGCTCCTATGCAATAACAATGAAGTAGCTGTACTGTTTGTACATATAGCAAAGTAAATGTGCAAGGTTTGAAATCATCAAGAGGTGCAGAATTAAAGCAGATATACAGGTGCTGGCCAGTAAATTAGAATATCATCAAAAGGTTGAAAATATTTCAGTAATTCCATTCAAAACGTGAAACTTGTACATTATAGTCATGCAATGCACACAGACCAATGTATTTCCGATGTTTATTACGTTTAATTTTGATATTTATAGGTGACAACCAATGAAAACATCAAATCTGGTATCTCAGAAAATTAGAATATTCTAAAGGCCAATGAAAAAATGTTTGTTTCTCTAATGTTGGCCAACTGAAAAGAATGAACATGAAAAGAATGTGCATGTATAGCACTCAATACTTAGTCGGGGCTCCTTTTGCCTCAATAACTGCAGTAATGCGGCGTGGCATGGACTCGATCAGTCTGTGGCACTGCTCAGGTGTTATGAGAGCCCAGGTTGCTCTGATAGTCGTCTTCAGCTCCTCTGCATTGTTGGGTCTAGCGTATTGCATCCTCCGCTTCACAATACCCCATAGATTTTCTATGGGGTTAAGGTCAGGCGAGTTTGCTGGCCAATCAAGGACAGGGATACCATGGTCCTTGAACCAGGTGCTGGTGGTTTTGGCACTGTGTGCAGGTGCCAAGTCCTGTTGAAAGGTGAAGTCTGCATCCCCATAAAGTTGGTCAGCAGCAGGAAGCATGAAGTGCTCTAAAACTTCCTGGTAGACGGCTGCATTGACCCTGGACCTCAGGAAACAGAGTGGGCCAACACCGGCAGATGACATGGCACCCCACACCATCACTGACGGTGGAAACTTTACACTGGACCTCATGCAACGTGGATTCTGTGCTTCTCCGCTCTTCCTCCAGACTCTGGGTCCTTGATTTCCAAAGGAAATGCAGAACTTGCTTTCATCAGAAAACATAACTTTGGACCACTCAGCATCAGTCCAGTCCTTTTTGTCCTTGGCCCAGGCGAGACGCTTCTTGCGCTGTTTCTTGTTCAAGAGTGGCTTGACACACGGAATGCGACACCTGAATCCCATGTCTTTCATGAGTCTCCTCGTGGTGGTTCTTGAAGCGCTGACTCCAGCTGCAGTCCACTCTTTGTGGATCTCCCCCACATTTTTGAATGGGTTTGTCGTCACAATTCTCTGCAGGGTGCGGTTATCCCTAGAGCTTGTACACTTTTTTCTACCACATTGTTTCCGTCCCTTCGCCTGTCTGTTAATGTGCTTGGACACAGAGCTCTGCGAACAGCCAGCTTCTTTAGCAATCACCTTTTGTGTCTTGCCCTCCTTGTGCAAGGTGTCAATGATTGTCTTTTGGACAGCTGTTAAGTCAGAAGTCTTCCCCATGATTGTGGTGCCTTCAAAACAAGACTGAGGGACCTTTTAAAGGCCTTTGCAGGTGTTTTGAGTAAATCAGCTGATTAGAGTGGCAGCAGGTGTCTTCTATATTCAGCCTTTTCAGAATATTCTAATTTTTTGAGATACCAAATTTGGAGTTTTCATTAGTTGTCACTTATGAATATCAAATTTAAATGTAATGAACATTGGAAATACATTGGTCTGTGTGCATTGCATGAATATAATGTACAAGTTTCACGTTTTGAATGGAATTACTGAAATATTTCCAACCTTTTGATGATATTCTAATTTACTGGCCAGCACCTGTAAGAGGATTCCTGTCTGATTTGTTGCTATAAGAGACATAAAAGTCTTAGAAACACTGGTATTAATCACACTATGTACATTTATACATTTTTCCTCTCTATTACCAAGAAAAATGCTGATTATTCAGATAATTTGCATTCTAGGTTTATGGCGTAGTCTGGTTTTGTTTTAGTGTGGGAATTAGCTTCACATAAAAAGTTAAGTTGGCAGGGAAGATGGAGGATGGGTGGATGGGTAGGTGGGTGGATGGATGGCTGGATGGGTGGATGGATGGATGGCTGGATGGATGGGTGGGTGGATGGATGGGTGGATGGATGGATGGGTAGGTGGGTGGGTGGGTGGGTGGATGGATGGATGGATGGATGGATGGATGGATGGTGGGAGAGGTAGACAAGTAGATAGAGAAAATCTAAAGCACAATATTGATTTCTGGTCTCCAGCTGAGTCCAACAGGATGCAAACTGCTGGCCTTGTATGCTCTGCAGACCTGGACTGAACACTTCATTTTTCTGTCCGTCACTTATCTCTGCAGCTAATGGCGATACGCCGATGTGTGTGTGTGTGTGTGTGTGTGTGTGTGTGTGTGTGTGTGTGTGTGTGTGTGTGTGTGTGTGTGTGTGTGTGTGTGTGTGTGTGTGTGTGTGTGTGTGTGTGTGTGTGTGTGTGTGTGTGTGTGTGTGTGTGTGTGTGTGTGTGTGTGTGTGTGTGTGTGTGTGTGTGTGTGTGTGTGTGTGTGTGTGTGTGTGTGTGTGTCCATATTCTGCTTCAGGCTTTCATCTGTATATGCCTGATATGCCTACTTGCACCTAAAGCAAGCAGGAGAGATCTGTTCCCCACTCTAAAATGTAAACGTGTTGGTTTGGAGCAGATAATATTACACACATTCATTGATTTTAATCGACCAGAGTCGCCCCATTAAGCAGCCTCTTCTTCTGCGCTGCAGGAATCATATATTCATGGTGGTAGGACACAACCGGATGTGTGGTTTCATGACTCAGGCTTCTTTATTTTTTGTCGTTTTCATTTCATGACTCATCATATCTACATAAACTATATTTAAAATCCTCCCATACGGTCATTTTTAGAAAGTTTGTTTCTTTGACTTTATTGATTAACCTTTTTTTTTCTTCTTTCACAGCTCAGATCGACTCATTGACAACGCAATAAGGTAGGTTTTATTGCTTCATCTGCTCTCCTTTTTCTCCTCTCCATTATCTCTGAACACACACACACACACACACACACACACACACAAACAAAGGGATCTCAGCTGATCTGGTCCATTAGAGCAGATCTTTGTTTTAAACAATAAATACAGCGTAATGTGACACCACAGAGGCATTTATGTTTCTCAATTCCCACTGCTAATCCCCCGTGGTTTGTCTTTCCTCAGCATCGCCATGGCTACCAAAGAGAACATCACATTTCAGCGTGGGATGCTGAAGTCCATTCAAACCAGGGTCACAACTTTGGCCAGTATCCTTCCACAGTTCCCTTCTGTTTGTCTCTATTTTGTCTTCAAACGATTTTGGATTAAAACTTTGGTGCAGATTATTTGTCTTTTATTTAAAAACCTACTGAAGGATTTTCCTCGCTGCCGTTTTGTCTCTTAGCCTGACTCGGATCTTAATTATTTTTCCTTCACCACAACCCCCACCCCTCAGATCGTTTTCCTGCCATCAACAGTCTCATCCAGAAAATCAATTTGCGCAAGAGGCGGGACTCCCTAATCCTAGGTGGGGTGATTGGCGTCTGCACCATCCTTCTGCTGCTCTACACTTTCCGCTGATTGGCTCTTTGGCTCACCCAACAAATATTATTCAGATGCATTTGTTAATAACTATTTAAACAACATCTTTTGCACATTTCTGCTCCTTTTCTTGTGTTTTTTTTACCTCTGTGAAAGCTGTAAGAACTGTTTTGGGATTGTGATGATGTCATTCTTTTCTTTATTAAAGGTGATGAGCTCACGTTCGGGTCGGTCATGCTCATTCATGTTTATTTCAGACATGCAGAACTATGGCACAGGAAACCAGTCGTACAGTATAAATGTAGAAACAGAAACATCAGTGCCAGGATCAGTGCATTCACAGGATAATGTAAACATAGCAAGTCCAACCGGGAACTGGTATCACGTTAGCGTGCAAAGCAAGATGCCACACCACGGCTGTAGAGAGGCATACCTGTTTAAAACTTCATGTAAACAGTAGGAAAATGATTTAAACCCAGCAAAAGTCCACATCGGTCAGAGAGAAAGCTCAATATTTGTGGCAGATTTTTAGTAAAATGGGCATTTTTGTCTCTTTATGCAACAAACAAATCATTTGTGAAGATGTAGAGTGTGAGGAGGAAGTGGCGTTTAGCTACTTTGGTCTATAGCTTCTCCATGGATTCTGGTGACTAATTTACACACACACACACACACACACAAAGAAAAAAAACTGTTGCCTTCAATTTTTCCATCCATGGTTCCTGAGTTAAAATAGGGTGAGAGTGATGCCTGAAATGGATAAATGGTTTCTTTCCTCCTCCTTAAAAAGTCTTTGGGGGAAAAAAGGTAAAAACAATACTTTGGAATCACTTCAGATTTGGTGCTTTTGCATCTTCAAATCGATAATCCTCCTCTTCTGTGCAAGTTGGAGATCCTCCCCAGAGGTAAAGAAGACTTTTTCCATCCCAGAATTCACCGCAGCTCTGAGAGACAGAGAGCAAACACATCAACACACACACACACACACACACACTCAACCTGCTCATGCTGGCCTTCCATACCTATTGTTAACACTATGAAGACGATTATCGCCACACCCACTACCATTGCCAGAATGCTCAGCAGCATTGATCGACGCCCATACTTCCTCGCCCCTTCGACGTCTCCGGTGTGGAGAACTGTCCTCGACTAGCGGGAAAAGGGAAAGATACGAGGCAGTCATAATTTAAATGCACCCCACCCAAACCACCTGTGGTGTGTGGAGACGAATAGCAGTGACACGTTTAATAAACAGGTGGAAATAAATGCCGCACTCACCACGTTTGCGTACCACAGGGCGGATATGTTGATCGGCCAAGCGGGACAGAAGCAGGACAGCAGGGCGAGCCAGAGGTAAAAGGAGGGCGCGGAGCCAGGCGGCACCGGGGAGGACAGCTGGCCCATACTCATCCGAGAGCTGGATCTGGGTGGGGCCGTCAGGTGTCCAACGGAGCCTGATTTCACCTGGGATCTGTGCCCATCCTGGTCCGCGTCCAGAGACCGGACGCTCCCTCTGATGTTCAGGGAGAAGGAGTCCGATGATTTGATGTTGGTCTCGCCGGTTGGCTCGGTGGTGGCGGTGCTCAGCAGCTTCTCCGTGTCCTGGAAGTTAGCCGGGTTGGAAACTTCTCTCTCACCGAGGGCGCTTTTCCCAAATGCGGCATCAGTGTTGATAGCCATCACGGAAAGATGAGAATGATCTCCAAGTCGGTTCAGCTGTCCTGCCGTGCTGCTGTCCCTCCTGTCGGTGCTGAAGAATCTTCCCTCAGATGTTTACCTTTGGGGGTCATCAGATTAAATAATAAAAGTTCAGAGAGAACAGTCCAGGCGGCCTATTTAATTAAGGATCCAGATGTCTTACTGATGAACGAGACGTTATTGATGTCTGAGTCTTTCTCACGATCAGCTGCCGGTCGGTGACGCACGCCTCGCTTTTTTACCCCCCACCCCTCTCTGTGTCATGTAGGGAGGAATTACCGCATCCCTCCTCATCATAGTGCATCTCCCTGCACCGGAGCCCTATTAAGCTCCGGGCGAGCCAGTGACAGGCAAAAAACAACTATTAAGCCGCTTTTGAAGTGAACACCCGCGGTGCGTAAAAGCTTTCCATTTACGCGCGGGGGCATCAGCTACATCAGCATTTAAGGCACGGAAATGAGGGATTTTTTAAATGGAGATGGGGAGGAAAGCGAATCAGAATAAGAAGCCTTTAAACACATCCACCACCTGCTGACTTAGAAACTCCTCTAAAGTTTTACTGGGGTAATTAGGCGGAGACTGTTGGAGGAGCATTCGAAGTCCGACCATTTGATCACCTCAACGTGGTTCTATTAGTCCAAATTTCTGATTTTCTGAACACATTTAAGAAAGTAATAAAAGTGGAGGGCTGTCAGCTCCGTTAGCAGCTTAGAAGCGAAACTACATTCAATAAAAACGAAGAATTACGCAACACCTGGCTTGTTTATAAGGGACCCATCGCTTACACACACATACACATAGACACACACACACACACACACACACACACACACACACACACACACACACACACACACACACACACACACACACACACACACACACACAGAACCCAGTGCAGGTGAGAAATAAAGAGCAGATAACAACCAAAACCTTCAAGCTGTCTTGAAGGAAGAATGGTTCGATAAACCACATGGAAACACAAACTGAACATATTTTGCTAAACCCATTTTTTGCCTTATTTTGTCCTGCCATGTGGGCCTTTGACTCTGAGCACGTGCCCCCAGGAACCTGGTAAGGTCAGGGCCAGATTAACACTTTGTTGTACCCAGGGCAACGACATTAAAGGGCCCCATCATCACGACCCATAATATGATCACATACAGAATATTTAACTGTAATATGCAGTAAATATACTCAATACTTGAATGCCTGACATCACGTAACCCGCTCAGGGTAACCTTTTTTTTTTTTTTTTTTTTTTTTTTGAAATTCAAGTTTTTCTTTAACTTTCTTTGAGGGGCTGGTACATAGCAGTCTCAATAGATACTAAACATGGAGGGACTAAACATACAGTTATAACAGTTGATTTTGGATACAAGTCCCATTCATATAGCTCCTGCAGACACGTAATGTCGGAACAACAGCAGTCACATAACGTGCTTGATTTCACCCAAGGCCTTTGTCTGTCTTTATAAAGTTCCAGAATCCATCCCAGTGAGAAGTTCAGGGTAACCTTTGACCCACCTCGTGTGGACTGACCAATGAGGAGAGGGTCTTAACTTGAGGCCCTCTCTTCATTGGTCAGTCTGCATGAGACTGACTCTCAACCGCTCTCAACTGACGTTCAAAGTCAAAGGCAGCGAAGTGTCTCTGTGCAGCGCAAAAGCCCGGGTGGACAGTTTGTTTAATGTAGGGTGACCATATTTCCATTTTCAAAAAAGAGGACAGGGGATCTGTGCCTATGACGTCACACTATGGTAATGCCACACAACGCTGGGACCCATTTTTGTTGTTGTAAGAACTAAAATTAATATCAGATTCTGCCAATAAAAGGGCTCTAAAACAATTCATATGTAAATATTTTGCATATTTATAGCAAAATCTAATTTTTCTGCTTTAGTGCTGCAACAAGGTTTTATTAATAATAAATTATTATACCTTTTGTTTTACTACAGCATCGGTAAGCTTCCTGTGCACAGATTATCAAGGATGCTTGTTTCAGCTGTGAGATTAGACGATAGGATCAATGAAAAAATAAGTTGTCCCACACTCCATGGAAACTTTCAGAGAATCCACAAATAGTGGCTTTCAAATGGTTTTGTTACTTTTTGCAAGTTTAGAAAAGAAGCAGATGAGACAGCATGTCTGATAATTTAGTTTTTCATCTGATAATATTAGAACATGTCAGTGATGTCTGAAAGGCTTTTATAACTAATACTCCTGGAGGGGGTATGAATTACACAGAGGCTTCTGGGGAGCCCACTTATTGAAGGGGGGGAGGGGGGGGAACGTGTAGTGGAGATAAATCTACCTACGTTTTACTTTGTTTTCTTGTTTTTATTTAACTATTTTCCTGTCCCGTCTGTCTCTCATCTGATGAGCTCCGCAGTGGCAGAGCGCTTCAGGCACAAATAAGACAGAAAGTAGAGAACATGTGCGGACATGAACGATCGTGTGTTAATTATAGTTTTTTGGTTGCGCCACTTTGAGAATGGACTGTGCGCTCAAAAGAGTCCATGAATGATGTAAATCCTCTAATACAGGCCCGGGCCTGTATTTGACTCAAGCTCATCAAGCTCCAGGCCTTTATTGGAAGGAGGACCAGAATTAGAGGCAGGCCTCAATTTCTATTTGAGCAAAATGAACTAATGGTTCGCTGGAGTTTTTGAGAGTTAAAATTGCGCCCACATTTTCAAAGTTAAACACATTTCTTTTAACAACGGTAGTTTCTGCTTCAGCCCTCTCCCTCCTCCCCCTGCGCAGCGGCCGCAAACTCACTGATGCGCCTGCAGCCTCTCAGAGTTCCTGCTGCTCTAAACATTAAAATAATTATTTCATTTTCTGTTCCTCACTTCTGATTACCTTCAGTGGTGTCTGTTTGTTGCAACCACCAGGTACAAAAACTAACTTGTTTTTATTTGACTATTTTTCTGTCCTGTCTGTTTATTATCTTCCTGCATCTCCTCTCAATCCTAAAGAGAAACTGCTACCTGGGTTCATATATATTCACCTTATGAGTTACCTTTGAACTGCAGTTCTAAAAGATCTACCGACCGCAAAAACAGCGGAGTGCTCGCCGGCCGCATCAGTGAGGTGCGTCACCGAGGATAAAACAGGTGATGCGCCCCGATCCACAGCAGCGAAAAGCATCAGGCACAAATAAAAGACAGAAAACATAAAAGGAAATGAGCCGACATGAACAATGCTTGTTAAATTAGTTTTTGAGGTGGCAACACCTGATTTGATAATGTTACTGCAGTGTTCTGCTGCATAATCAGCACGTTCTCTTTGAACTTGATATCAAATTTTCGCCTCCTCTTCGTCTCTGCACCTGCCATGGTTAAAGTTACCCTCGCGGTCTGTCACTGGCAAATCAAAAGTGAGACGGATGACACAACCGCCCCCCTGTGGTACTTGCATGTTACGACATTCCACCCGGCCACAATAAAAAAACGGCCATTATTCACCTCAGTATCATTAAAAAGCAATAATATACATAAGCATTTAATAATTATACATGTGAGAATCAGATCACCCCAGAAGTCAGTCCCACATCCAGGGCCGTATCAAGGCATTTGGGGACCAAGGCAAATATAGGCTTGGAGCCCCCCACCACCTCACTCCCTGATCAGGTAATATAAGATGGCAGCGTGCTGAGAGTACAGGTTGTTGTTGCTTTTATTTAATAAACAATCGTTTTAAAGCACTGTTATTATATCTGACTGTTTTTAACAGCAATCCTAGCTCAGACACCACATCACTTTCCACATATATGTCATGAGCTCACTGAGCGTCAGATTACCAGATTCATATTGAAGTTGTTTTGGTGAAAGTAACTTAGAGTAATGCAAAAGTAGTGTAATGCCTTACATTTTAAAATCAGTAATATTGTAATGTAATAAATTACTTTAAATGAGGGTAACAAGTAATAAATAATGCATTACAGTTTTGAAGTAACTTGCCCAACACTGCCATTTAAAGGCTTTGAGTTAATTAGATGTTAATTAGCTAATTTGAGTGTGGCACTGGGGGTCTTCAATATTGAAAATTTTCAAGATATTGTAATATTCTGAGATACTGAATTTGGGATTTTCTTTAGTTGTCAGTTATAATCTCCAAAATTAAAAAATAAACATTTTGTATAGTCTGTATTTACCTTACCTATTAATGGTAACAACTTGATAACAATACCACATACAATGACTGTTCTGGAAAGCTTTTTGTTAGGGTATGTGGCGCAGGCTCTCCTTGAAGTGTCCGTTTAGAGTTTCTGAATGCACGTTTTAGAGATGACAGCAGAGTCGGCTTTGTTTCTGCCTGGAAGATCAGCGCCATCTGGTGGTGACTTTTAGAAAGTACACCAAGACCTCGTTTAGCTTTAGCAGCTTTGCTAGAACTTAGCTAGCAAACTCCCATTGGTCAGTGGGAGCAGAAACTACTTTAGTGTTATTTCTCAGCATGACAAACCACCACTTTTGAGATTTACAACTCAAATCAAAACTTTTCCATTAGTAATATGCTGATCTGTGAGGAAAAGCCATCTAACCATCTTTATTTTAAAAAGTTTGATGTTCCCCACAGAGCTTTAAGGGAAATTTGAGTTTGGTAGTCATGTGATTTCAAAAGTGAACATGCTGTGAAGGAATTCAGTGAAGCAGCTGGTGAGGCCTTCAGGCGCTGGAGAACAGAAGTTAGGTACATTTTAAGAGTCTTCCTCCTGCATGAACGTAACAGCAGCGAGAGTCTACAGTCGCTCGTTGGTTATATACCATGATACAAGGAAACAAAAGAAGTCTAAGATTTCTCACATTCTTCAGAGTTTAACATTTTTGTGCACTTTTGGTGTTATTTTTGGGTGGTGCTGGAATGTGTTTTATTGCCTAGTATGCAGTTAACAACAAAAACACTTCTGGGGGAACATTTTGTTCTTTATTGTAAGGAGAGAAACAAATATGCAAGCTTTGCATGTACATGAAAGAAACATTTGATTATGAAAACACATAAAAGAACAATTAACACACGAGTTAAAACAGTAAGAGCCATGTCTGACTCCCACCACCAGACTTCCTCTTCGTCCTGAGTCACGCAGGGCAGGGCAGACCAGAGCAGTTCTTCAGCTGGCAGCTTTAGCATGTGTACAGGAACATAAAGCTTGCCAGTGAAGAACTGCTGTGAGTCAGCCATTTGGGGCCGCAAGAGAGGGAGCACAATTTAACCCAGACAGCCTGGAGTGAGGCACGGTCTCGCTGACGGCACGAACGGTGATTTCCTCTTATGATTTAGGTGTGCACAATTCTGCAGAGGGAGAGAAAGGGATCATTTAAACTTCCTCAGTAGAAGTTGCTCCACAAGAAGCGTAGGCTCAGGGTGGCCTGCAGCCAGTCACACAGAAAGTGGGTGCAGATGAGCCAGTGTGTGTGTGTGTGTGTGTGTGTGTGTGTGTGTGTGTGTGTGTGTGTGTGTGTGTGTGTGTGTGTGTGTGTGTGTGTGTGTGTGTGTGTGATTGGCTGTCAGTGACTGAAATGACATATGTAGGAACGCCTGAGGAGATAAACAGCGTGCATCAGATTACCCGCTCTGTCTGTGCTGTCTTATGATCGTTCAGTTTTAAGTTAAGGGGAATAAGTACATCACAGATCAGCCCTTTTTGAAGAATTATATTTCAGTCAGTTACCATGGTTACAGGGGGGATGAGTGAGAGGATTTTTGAGTCTTTTCAGAAGTGTAAAGGACTATCTGTGAAGTGTTGAAGAGGGGAAACCTGTTTCAAATGATTAAGATGAATCTGATAAGACTGGAAAAAGCTAACTGTTAGCATTAGCAAATCCACCACACAGCAGAAGCTTCTTCAGGCTTGTGTTATTTGTGGAGGTAAAACATCCACATTGCAAGTCAGTGGTAGAGTTGCATTATTGTTAGCCAATCAGAAGTGAGATGTCCAAATATCAGGAAATAAGACTACAAACCCCGTCCTCTGAAGCTCATCTGTGATGTAACTCACTTCTAGTTCCTGAAAACGGTACACCGGTATTTTTCTTCCCCAGAGAACAACTTACAGGGCATTTATTCCTACTAGAGAATGCTGCAAAAGTATTGATTAAATGAGTGTTCAAATCCTTTAAACTGATTTTAGGAAAGTAAAAGATGCAAAAAAGCATTCAAAGCAAAAAGCAATCTGTGTTTTCCTGCTTTCAGAAAACTACATCTTGTTGTGATCTTCAGATGATGAGAATATGCTAATGTGAAGCCTATAAACAACACACTGGGCATTCCTGTATTTACAGAGGTCACAATCAAGAAGACTAAAATTACAAGCATATCTAGAGAATCTGTGCTGCATGGATTTGGAAACAGAGGAGGTGACATGAAAGCGCTCCTCCTAATCCATCGACGTGACAAATGTCAGGGTTTTTGATTTTCCTGAGATGGTGAGTCAGCGGAAGACCTGGTTGCCTGTGCTAACGTGTGACACAAGCTGTAGGAAGAGTGTATAATCCAATCCATGCACCTAAAAATCAAAGTCTTCAGAAATGATTTAAATAAAACCTTCTGGTGTTCCTGCAGGATTTCTGCCTCTCCTTTAATCAGGCATCTTCCTGGGAATCATCCGAACATAATTCCTCTTTCAAAAGAATTTTCTTGAAATTAAACATTCAACTGTAATGAAATGTGGCTGCCATCTTATTATCAGGAGTTCTGCAAGATGCTTTCTTCGTGCGATGTACATGTTGTCCATTTATAGACTTCATAAAATGTTATGCAGACACTTATCTTGCAGAATAATTATTATATAATCATCCAACCTGTTTCCACCAGAGAAACATCCATGTATGATTGAACAGAATGAGTGCTTTCTAAATAAAACACAATGAAAAACTGTGAAAATATGTTGTTTCCATGTTTGACTTTGATTAGATCTAATCTCTTATCTGCCTGGTTGGAGGTGATTAAAGTCTCTAGATGAGACACTACAAAATAGTACAGGAAGTCAGTCAGAGCAACTTTAAACACACACAAAAAATAACACGGAAATAATGTAAATGAGTGAGCCCAACTCCCCCTGACCTCCCCTTTACCACCAGCTCAGTGCTCTAGTGGTAATGTGTCTGAGCTGAGACTGGGAGATCGGGATTAAATCCCAGACAGGTCATACCAAAGACTTAAAAAATGGGGCCCAATGCCTCCCTGCTTGACGCTCAGCTTTAAGGGGTTGGATCGGGGGGTTAAACCACCGAATGGCTCCTGAGTGCCGCCGTGTCTGCAGTTCACCGCTCCCTATGGGTATGGGTCTGATGCAGAGGACCAGTTTCACCACACATCAGTGTGTGTGACAACTGATAGGTTGACTCACTTAAGGAAATATCCTTTTCAGCATTTTCCATTCATCCGGCCACCACGTCTGTTCCAGTGTGGTAAAAACTGACAAAGGGCTCCAGATGTTGATGTGCTTCAGTTCGTTTGGATGTGTTCACCGTCACAAACTCAAATTGAATTTTTACTCCCAGTTTTCCTCCCAAAGACAACATATGCCCAGTACCTCCTGTTGTCCCACTCTCTCCCATGCACACACTTTATATATATATATATATATATATATATATATATATATATATATATATATATTGAGTCTTTTACTGACTCGTCTGTCCTCTCCACCTTCTCTCGGTCAGATCAGACTGTCCTGCATTCCTGACATTCCAGCTGCGTATGTTAGAAATTCCATCCGGCTGCGGTAGCCTCGCACGGTTTCCTCCACTCCTTCTTTTCCATCCTCACCCATCCCCTCTCTGTCGACTACATCTGGTCCGCTCTCGATGAGGCTTCGCTGTCAGGTTGACCCTGACCCGCCCCCTTCCTCTCTGTCCACCTCTTCTTTATTTTCCTGTCTGTCTCTTCAGAGAACGCGAGGTGAACGGAGTCGCATGATGAGCAGCGAGGACGGCCTTGAGACGGGCTTTTACTCTTAGAAGTGTAAAAGAGATAACACGCACGGTCTAATAATCCACAAAAAAGTACGCTTATCCAGGACGCTGGATGTGCAGTCTCTGCCACAGCGAGGCAAATAGGGGGCACAGGATGCATGCATCAGAGGAAAATGGGAACGATGATGTGTAAACACAGAGAAAACCACTGACGTTTCAGCTCTTTGGAAATAATCTCATCAGGTTTGGGCCTCGGCAGCGAAGAATCCACTGAACGCTCGGAATATGCTGCATCTGAAACAAACAGACCACTTCCTGTATTTCAAAACAGGTTCAAGTTGACCTTTTGGTGTTTAGCTTCTCGCTGTTGTGCGAAAGAATCACACGAGGTGGCGGCGTAACACGCAGAGGCTGTTCCTGCTCCGGCGTCAGAGATAATAAAACCACACGGAAATGAAGGAAAAGAGAAGCAGAGATTTACATACTGCAGCCTGCGAATGGAACACATGACGATGAAGTGCCGAAGCCAGGCCGATTCCTGTTCCTGAGGGTGTGGCTTGCTTTGAGAGTATTTAGTGTCCCAGATTGTAGTTTGTAACACAGACGGATGCGTTGAGACTGAAAAATGGGGACAGAGACAAGGAAAAAGGGTGTAGGCTCACAGCACGGAGAGCCTCCTCTTACACTCTGCAGCTCATGGTTTCCTGGACTTTAAAGGCCATCTGACTTTAACCCTCACATCACAACCAATAAAGGGTGTGTGCTGAGAAACAGCCAAATGCCATTCTGAATTCCTGACGCAGCCGGGAAATGTGCTGCATGAGGCCTATAAGCCTGTCCTCGGGCAATCCATGCCATTTTGTTTCTTTTTTTTTCTTCTTCCGATTGAACACATCCTCTCTCGCCCCGTTCTTCCTTTACGAGGCACGCAGCAGAGGAGTTACAGGGTGGAACCCAAGTTGAGCAAGATGGCTTCACTTCTGCAAACTGAGGAGTTGCTAATCTGGAAGGAAACAGCACATGCAGGCAAGACCAGCAGATTGTTTTAAAGTGACATGCCGTCTTTTGCATATGATTCTCATTGACAGGATGGATTATGTCACACTTTGGACTGCAGTGGCACAGACACAGCTCGTGACACAGCCTATTGCGCATTCCTACCGGCACGCTGAACTCTGGCTGCACAATTATGTCAGGCAGACCACACTGATATAACGTTCACATTTAACCAAGAATTTAATACTAAAAGGGAACTCTCCTGATGAAGTTATTTCTGTGCAGCTGGATCTGGTTGAGGGGAACTGGACAGGGGGGCTTAAACACCTGCTTTCATGACGTGTGACTGGATCTCACAAATAAACTAACCTTTTATCTGAAGATTTTTTCCGTTTCTTCCAAGACGAGCGCTGCTGCTTCTGAGAAATGACTCTGTCGTCTGATTTTCACCTATCGCCCACTCGAGTGTAGGCTTGCTCCTTGGCCTGTCGTGAACTCAGCACATTTCCAGCAGGTTTAGGACACTTTCTGATAAAATCAGGAGATTGGACTGTGAATCCAGCTTTAGTAAATAAATAACATTATTAGTGTTGGTGAAATCTTCCTGCCTTACAGTCAACTATTGCCCTATAATTTTGATATGTAATAAATATATACCTAATACCTCTTAAGCAGTTAGGAAATCCTAACTCCTTCAGATTAAATTAGCACGCCTTATTCTGGCCTGCATCATGTCAGATTTCCAGTGAGCCCACAGATCCAGTGAGATCCCCAGAATCAGTGGATCTGGACACAGAAACGGGCCTTCAACCAGAACTATGAGCCCAGACCTGTAATCCACACAAATCTCAGAACCTAAAACCTGTACGGGTGGATTTTCTTGGATTAAAGTCAGACAAGAATGATTTCATGAGGCTATTTCCTCACAAACTGGGTCATGAAGCCCACCACCGGCTAACAGAACCGAACATTCAGCCAGAGGAAGCGCGCGCGCGCGCACACACACACACACACACACACCGCCCCACCTTGGCCACCGCTCGGGTCGCTCCAGTTCCCCTGATCGCTCCACCGGAGCTCAGCAGTCAGCCTCGCCCACAGCGCGGCGGAGTCCCCGGAGCTTCGCAGGGTGTGTCGGTGTCTGCGGATTTCTTAAACGTCCCCACCGGAGAGGAGAGAGAGAGAGAGAGAGAGAGAGAGAGAGAGAGAGAGAGAGAGAGAGAGAGAGAGAGAGAGAGAGAGAGAGAGAGAGAGAGAGAGAGAGAGAGAGAGAGAGAAGACCAGATTTTGTGTCTCTGGAGTCTGTTGAATCGCCGCAGCAATGGAGGAGACAGCGCAGGACTTCAGCTCCTTTTACACAACTCCCGTCCCAGTCCTCCCTCCCTCTAATATATATATCTCTCTCTCCCGCACACACACACCCAGTCCACACGCACACCCGGCTTCCTACTCCGATCAGCTGGCAGCGTGATGACGTTGGCATCACGAGAAACTGGACGTCAGATCTGACGTGCGCACGCAAACAGGCAGCAGCTGGAGATGTGTTTCATGTTCACTATAGCCTGTCACAGCTGTACAGGAAGTACAAGACCCCGTTGCTGTTTAAAAAAATAGGCTTCAGAATCTGTTGATTTTTTTCCACACCACTCCTACTTTTTATTTTTCAAGGAGACATTTGTCTTCAGTTATATTTGTTACATGGTCGATACAAACCATAGGCTATTCATGAAGTTCTTTGAACAAAATTCCTCTCAGATGAAGCAATTTCAGCAGTTTTATTCTTGAAAATTTCAGTACCTTCCAGAATGAGGCGTTTCGGGGCTCTGTCACTTTAAGGAGGTCCTTCACTCAAAGTTTTAATACATGGTCTCTAGTTGGAATGAATGCCTTGTGAGATATGGGCTTGACACACGGGAGGCGACATTGCCTCTCCTCTGTTGATTTTCAATGAGACATGCGCGACAAAGCGATAATCACGGGTCTGCCTCTTGCTAAGCGACGTGTGAAAAACGTGCATGTGAAATTTTGCTCTTGTGCATGTGTCGTGGGGGATCTTTACAGTAAGTATACAAAAAATATGTATAAAACTACAACCCATATGGATCTTTTATGCAATGTCAGGAATGCAGAACTGTCAAGTACACAGGTGGCAGGAACAACCAATCACACATTAGCGAGTATCAGCAGAGCCAATAGATGAGATTATTGACGGTTCTGATTGGGAACAGGCTTCAACTCAAGCGGTTGTTTTCTGCTTGGTCCTAGTGCTCATGTCTATTGAATATAGCGTGATATTGTTTTTGGATGGCAAAAAGTGCAGGGGACAAAAATAGCGGGGGGGTACATGTCCCCCGGTGTCACCCCCAAAAACTAGGTCCATGTCCGTCCCCATCTCCTGTGAACCTGGGCTTGTCACTTTGCAGCAGACTTGAGACAGTCACAGTATGAAAAAGAAATGCAAAATCAAAGCTACTTCTCCTTCTATGTTGGATGATCTTAAATAAAATAAAAAGTTGATTTAAAACTTCTTTATTTTAAAGAAAGCAAAGTTCCTTGACCAATCACGTGCCGGTTCATTGCTGTTTCTCAGTCATCGACTGCCCTATGAGTCATGTTGTCTTTTCTAAGGATTTATGGAGCTGGAAATTATAATAAATCAGCTACTGTATTTTCAATGCAATAGGATCAGAAAACTTGTGCAAAAAGTGCTTTTATTTTTTTCTTTACAAACTCACCAGTTGAATCACTTTTGACATCTTTTTGTACAACACGAATATTAGGTACAGTTTAATCCCAAGTTTTATTCTAGATCTTTTCCAGTAAATATTTAACCCAGAAAAGGCAACTTCAACCCATAAGACGATCTAATTGCTCTCTGAAAATATCTGGAGTGCCTAAAGAGACACCTGTAAGGTTAAGAAGAAGAAGAAGAAAATATCATTTCTATAGCGCCTCTCAAGATACAAATCACGAGGCGCTTCACAAAAAAAAAATGTAAAAATATAAAAAAGCATTTAGAAAATGTTTAAAAATATATTTAAAATGAGCAAATATAGACGATTGGGATTTTAAAAAAATGTTAAGAAAGAGAGAGATAATTGGAAATGGGGAAATCAGTGGATCCTGAGGAAGGTGGAATAGGTGGGGAGAGCAGAATAAAGAGAGAGTGGTGAAGAAGGTCATACAAAAGCCAGCTTGAACAGGTGAGTCTTCAGCTGCTTTTTAAAGGAGACCACTGAGTCCACTGATCTCAGGCTCAGGGGGAGATGGTTCCAGAGTCTGGGGGCCACAGCAGCAAATGATCTGTCATCTTTGGTCTTTAGCCTGGTGAGCGGAACAACCAGTAGGCTTTGATCACTGGACCTCAGGGACCTGCTGGGGGTGTAGGGACTAAGAAGATCACCAATGTAAGATGGTGCTTGTCCATGTAAGGCCCTATAGACCATAACCAGGATCTTGAAATGAACCCTGAAGTTGACTGGCAGCCAGTGAAGCTGGAGGAGAAGCGGGGTGATGTGGGCGTGTTTGGATGACTTGGTCAGAAGCCGAGCACAGGCATTCTGAACCACCTGTAGACGGTTCAGGGAGGTTCTGCTCAGACACGTGAAAAGAGAGTTACAGTAGTCTAAGCGTGAGGAGATGAAGGTGTGGATAACTGTCTCAAGTTCAGAGCGGGACAGAATGGGACTCAGCTTAGCGATGTTTCTGAGATGGAAGAAGGAACAGCGAACAAGAGAACTGACATGAGAATCCAGGGTGAGAGCTGGGTCAAAGGTCACGCCAAGATTCCTGACAGAAGGTTTGGTGTGGGAAGCAAGCTGACCAAGAGAGTCTCTGACTTTGGGAACCAGCTTGTCTGGGGCACAGATGAGGTTCTCAGTCTTATCTTCATTCAGCTGAAGAAAGCTCCCAGCCATCCAGGCTTTGATAGAGTCTAAGCAGGTGTGGAACAGCTGCAGCTTAGACATCTCATGGGGCTTAAAGGAGATGTACGGTTGGATGTCATCTGCATAAAGATGGTAGGAGATTCCTTTGAAGGAGCTCAGGATGTGCTGAAGAGGAAGCAGATAGAGGAGGAAGAGCAGAGGCCCCAGCACAGAACCTTGTGGGACACAATGGATAAGGGAGGTGGTGGAGGACCTAAACTTGGAGACGGCCACAGAAAAGGAGCGCTCAGAGAGATAAGAGGAGAACCACTCCAGAGCAGATCCTGATAGGCCTACCCAGTCTCTCAGCCTCTCCAGGTGATGGTCAACAGTGTCAAAGGCTGCAGTCAGGTCCAACAGGACCAGAACAGAACAGTCCCCTGCATCACTGTGAGTCAGAAGGTCATTAGAGACCCTAAGAAGAGCTGTTTCAGTAGAATGAGCTCTACGAAAACCTGAATGGAAGCTATCATAGATGTTATGTTCATCAAGAGCAGCTGTGAGTTGTTTAGCCACAACCTTTTCCAAGATCTTGGAGATGAACGGATGTTTAGAGATGGGTCTGAAGCTGCAATGGAGAGAGGGGTCCAGACTCGGTTTTTTAAGAAGCAGGTGGATCACAGCATTAACCTTCCCCCATCTGCACAGCTTGACTGAAATGACATTTATTTTATGCACAAGTCCTTCCTTCTTATTCTACGAGTCTTGCAAGCAAATCTCAGTGCACTTAGTGTGGTTTAAAATGTGTTTGCATACTGATATCTGATTCAGACAGACATGCAAGATAAAACTTTCATAGTCAGCAGTGAGAGGCGTGACCGAGGTGTAGTTTAGGCCACATAAATAGAAATCACAAGACCCAGAAAAGGAGATTGGAAATTATAGGCCAGAACTTGTGGAAATATTTAAACGTCAGCCATAGATTATCCACACCGGGGAATATAATTTAGCATTTGTGAATTGCTCGGTCGGTTTTCTTTCTTCTCGAGAAACACTTGTTGGTATCTCAGCGTGAACTTTGTCACGCCAGCGTGGATAAATGCCACGTGTCCTTTCTGACTCAGCGTTCTGATTTATCCTCTTTTCTTCCTGTACTTCTTACTGGTAGAGTTCAGATGAATGTGTGGAAACAGAAGCAGGACTGACTAGTTTGAGCTCTGACACACAGAGCTATTTTTGGCACTTGTGCATGTACGGTTTAACAGCACATTATAGAACACGGGGCGCTCGTTTTGTGGCAAAAGTTTCTAGAATGATTAGAGCATAATGTTTTGGGAATTATTGTGATTATTGTATTAATTCATTAAATGATCTGCTTGTTTTTATTTGTACTGCAAGCACAAGACCGGAGAACGCAGTGTAACAGGAACAGGATGGAAACTCCCCTCTAATTTCCACTTGGCCTGCTGCAGATGTTGTCTGAGGTGACATGATATAAATAGACACTTAATGTTCCATTTATTCAACTTTTCAAGGGTTTAATATTTGTCAAATGCCAAATCTGTAACAAGCGTTCTTGAGTTTATTTCTAAATTAGATATAACGTTTATTAAAGATTGCTTTTTTTTCTTCTGATTAATATTTTCTAATATTTCTGCATTCCTGCACTCGGGTGAAGCATCCAATTGTTGATATTTTCTATGAGGTGATACATTTAACAGGTAAAATTGACCACATTTATCCACAAATACTAATTTCAAATAACAATATTTAGAATTAAATCTCAACCGATAAAGTTAAAATTTAGAATCAAGTTTACACGGGTAGTTGAAGTGAACTCTAAAAGCTGAAATCTGCAAATAAATATTCAAAAAGGAGTTAAATGTTACGCAACACATTTCAACGTGTCCATTCTGATTGCCTTATAATGCATGAAATATGAAATTATATTAAACATGCAATTGCAACAACTTTGTAATACAGTTTTTCTCAATTGCTAAAGCACAATTCCTGAAACCTTGCTCCCTTTTCTCAAAACATTAAACACAAAACCTCAGCTTCAAGCACGATTTATACAACCTCTCATTCCTCTTGCAAACTCAAACTTTTGCCTCAAAACAGTTTTAGCTGTGCTCAATATCAAACACTACTCTCAAATCATAAACAAATTACTCACAATTACACACACCATCAAGCAGTCAGTAAACAATACACCAAAAAATAGAAAGCACGATGTTCAGGGCCATACAATTTGTTTATTGTACCATATACAGCCTGCAGTCCATTGTGCTACAGTGTTCAATGACAGTGAAAAAGAATACATAAAATGAAAAACATCAAAGGACTAAACATGTTATCAATGGGCCTCCTTGTCTGTGGGCTGGGTCAGGCCACAGCACTTCATTGACATCACATGCAATATTTTCCCTCCTGAGGCTGAAATTGGGTTGCACTCCAAGTCCTGCTTCCCTTATTGTCAGCTCATGGACAACAACACGGTCTATGGTTGTTGCTCAAATTTCATTGGACATTTCCACTCTTTGTCTTGCTCTTCCTCTTCATCCCCCTCTTTCTCTTTCTTGCCCTCCTCCTCATCCCCCAACTCGCATACGTACCCGTCCTTGTCCTCTCACATGAATTCTTCTATCCATTGTCACACTTTCTCATTCCCACCTTCAACAACCTGTTTGCTCTCTGAA